CTATAGGAAAACCTTAGTTCAACTTTCAGTTTTAGGGGGAAAAGTTTCTGCCCAGTTGTATGGCCTGGAGGAAGAGCCATGTGGATCTAACTGATCTGAGTCATAGACCGATGTTCTCCTGATTTCCACCTTGTCTCCTCCTTGAATCTTCCATGATACTTGGTGTTTCTAAACCTTATGCTTTTTTTCAGATTTCTGTCTGAAATGATTGTCTTTCTTTTCATCAGTATTCTCCTCTCCAGACCCTCAGTTTTCAGATTCTGCTGCTCTTTTAAGTCATTTACCATTCATTTGTTCATCTACTCTTTATCTTTCAGATACTCATTGATGTATCTTTGTCCTTTTTCAAATTACCATAATTCTTATGTTTTTTAACTGCCACCCCCCTTTGTTTGGGAAGGAGATAGAGATAAACATGCATATTTAATTTGCTGTGTTTTCTCTCTTTCTTTTCTTTGTTTTTTTTTTTTTTTTTTTTTTTGAGACGGAGTCTTGCTCTGTTGCCCAGGCTGGAGTGCAGGGGTGTGATCTCCACTCACTGCAAGCTCCGCCTCCCAGGTTCACAGCCATTCTCCTGCCTCAGCCTTCCGAGTAGCTGGGACCACAGGCGCCCACCACCATGCCCAGCTAATTTTTTATATTTTTAGTAGAGAAGGGGTTTCACTGTGTTAGCTAGGATGGTCTCGATCTCCTGACCTTGTGATCCACCCGCCTTGGCCTCCCAAAGTGCTGGGATTACAGGCGTGAGCCACCGTGTCCGGCCTAATCTACTGTGTTTTCTAAATGTATTCCACATTGTGTGTTTTTATATAATGTCTTAGCTGGCAAAATCACTGGACAGAGCTGCTGGTCTGGATCACACTTCAGAGGCTTTTGTTGAGTTCTTTCTAAACTAGCTCTTATCAGCCCAATCTCACTTTTGGTCCCAGCGTTCTCATTCTCCATCTCACTCAAGAGAGGCAGGGTGTTTAAAAACCATACGTGACAAATGTGTGGATAACCTTTGTTAGTACCTAAGAACTTCCATTTGGATGAAATAATATGTTAGGTGAATTTATCTCTCACACCATTTAAAAAGTAAAGAAAACACCACTGGCATGTTATAATACAGAAAGAATGTCTTCCTACCAAAATGGTATATAAGCATAACACACATGTAAATACACTTCAATTTCTTTCCCATTTATTATTTAATTGATGGTGTTTTTTTTAAAAAAGAATTACTTCTAAGAATAGTAAAACTACTATGAAGAATTATAGACCAATAAATTGGATAACTAGAGGAAGTAGATAAATTCCTAGACACAGTTCAGCAGAGTGAATCATGAAAAATAGAAAATCTGAACAGACCAATAACAAATAAGGGATTGAAACAGTAGGGAAAAAAAAAAGCACAGGACCAGATGGATTCATGGCTGAATTCTACTAAACATTTAAAGAAGAACTAATACTAAATGTTTTGAAACTCTTCCAAAAACTCGTGGAGGAAATATTTCCAAACTCATTTTATGAAGATAGCATTACCCTGAGACCAAAACTAGACTACAAGAAAAGAAAATTATAGGCCAATATCCTTGATAAACATAGACACAAAAATCCTCAACAAAATATTAGCAAACCAAATTCAAAATAACATTAAAAGAACCATTCATCATGATCATATCTTGTTTATTTCTAAGATGCAAAGATGGTTCAATATATGCATATCAATAAATGTGATATACCACATTAACAAAATTAGAGATAACTTTCCTATGATCATCTCAATAGATGCAGAAAAAGCATTTGATAAAATTTAGCAACTATTCATGATAAAACCTCTCAACAGATTAGCTATAAAGGGAATGCACCTCAACACAGGCCATATATAACAAACTTGTAGCTGACATCATTTCCAATGGTGAAAATTTGAAAGCTTTTCCTCGAAGATCAGAGACAAGATAATGATGCTCTCTTCACTTCCTTGCAACTTAGTATTGGAAGTCCTAGCTGGAGGAATTAGGCAATAGAAAGAAATAAAAGGCATACTAATAGCAAAAGAGGAAGTGAAATTGTCTCTATTTGTTGATTACATAATCTTACATGTAAAAAATCCTAAAGACTCCATCACAAATCTGTTAGAACTGGTAAATGAAATCAGTAAAGTTATAGGACATAGAATTAACCTACAAAAATTAGTAGCATTTCTATACACTAATAACAGACTATCTGAAAAGAAAAATAAGAAAATAATCCCATTTACAATAGCAACAAAAAATTTAAATACTCAGGTGTAAATTTAACCAAGGAGGTAAAAGACCTGAACACTGAAAACTATAAAACATTGATGAAAGTAATTGAAAAAGACAAAGATAAATGAACAGATATCCTGTGTTCATGAACTAGAAGAATTAACTTTGTGAAAATGTTCATACTACCCAAAACAATCTACAGATGCAAAGAAATTCTTGTCAAAGTTTCAATGCCATTTTTCATAGAAATGGAAAAAAAGTCCTTAAATTTGCATAGAACCACACACACACACACACACACACACACACACACACACACACAAACCCAAATAGCCAAAACAATCTCAAGCAAAAAGAGCAAAGCTGGGCTAGGCACAGTGGCTCATGCCTGTAGTCTCAGCACTTTGGGTGACCAAGGCAGGTGGATCACCTGAGGTCAGGAATTTGAGACTAGCCTAGCCAATGTAGTAAAACCCTGTCTCTACTAAAAATATAAAAATCAGCTGGGTGTGGTGGCAGGTGCCTGTGATCCCAGCTACTCAGGAAGCTGAGGCAGGAGAATTGCTTCAACCCAGGAGGTGGAGGTTGTAGTGAACCGAGATTGTGCAGTTACACTCCAGCCTGGGCAGCAAAAAAAAAAAAAAAAAAAAAAAAAAAAAAGAAGAAGAAGAGTAAAGCTGGTAGTATCACACTCCTGATTTCAAAACATATTATAAAGTCATTGTAATCAAAACATCACATTACCTGCATAAAAACAGAGACATCAAGACATCAATCCATGGAAAACAGTAGAAAACTAAGGGCCTAACCCATGCATTTACAGTCAACTGATTTTTGGCAAAGCTGCCAAGAACACGCAATGGGAACAGGATAATCTCTTCAATTAATAGTGTTTAAAATACTGAATATCCACATCTGGAAGAATATAATTAGACCCTAATCTTACACTACATACAAAAATCAATCAAAATGGATTAAAGACTTACAAATAAAACCTGAAACTATAAAGCTACTAGAAGAAAACATAGGGACAAATATTCATGACATTGATTTAAGCAATGCTTTTTTTTTTTTTTTAATATGACCCCAAAAGCATAGGCAACAAAAGCAAAGATAGACAAATAGGATTGCATCAAACTAACAAGCTTCTGCACAGCAGAGGAAACAAATAACAAAGTGCAGAAATGACCCACAGGATGGGAGAAAATATTTGCAAACCATAAATCTGTTAAGAGGTTAATATCCAAAAAATATAAGAAACTCAAACAACTCAATAGCAAGAAAAAAAATAACCACATTAAAAAATGGACAAAGGACATGAACACACATTTCTCAAAAGAAATCATATGAATGGCCAACAGGAATATGAGAAAATGCTCATCATCACTAATCATTCACGAAATTCAAGTTAAAACCTCAATGAGATATCACCTCACATCTATTAGAATGGCTTTAACAAAAAAGATGAAAGTTAAGTGTTGGAGAGGATGTGGAAAACAGAGAATTTTTAAACATTGCTGGTGGAAATGTAAATTAGTATAGCCATTATGGAAAATTGTATGGAGGTTACTCAAAAAGTTAAAATTTCAATTATCATACAACCCAGTAGTCCCATTTTCACATGTGTATTCAAAGAAACTGAAACCAACATGTCAAAGGAATATTTGCACTCCTATGTTCATTGCAACACCATTCACAATAGCCAAGATATAGACTCAACGTAAGTGTCTATCAATGTATGAATAAAGAAAATAGAGTATGTATATGCATTGGAATACTATTCAGCCTTAAAAAAGAGAAAATTTCTGTCACTCATGACAACATGGATGAATCTTGAGGATGTAATGCTAAGTGAAACAAGCCAAACATAGAAAGACAAATACCATGTGGTGTCACTTATATGGGAAATCTAATAAAGTTGAATTCATAGAAGTTACAGAGTAGAACTGTGATTACCAGAGGCTGAGGGAGGCAGGGAGTTGGTGGGGAGGAGTGAGGGAATGGGAGTTGATCAAAGGGTACAAAATTTTAGACAGACAAGAAAAATAGATTTTGAGATCTATTGCAAGCAGAGTTACTATAGACAGTAATAATGTATTATATATTTCAGAATAACTAAGAATAAATCTCAAATGTCTCCCCATAAAAATGATAGGTAAGTGAGATGATAGATATGTTGATTAGCTTGACTTAATTATACCACATTGTATACATATATAAAAACATCACATTGTATCTCATAAATTACACAATTATGATTTTTCAATAAAAATAATAATTTTTAAAAATTAAATAAACTGAAAAAAGAAACATTACTGCTGTTTTATGAATATGTAATACTCACATTTTTATAGTACATATGATTTTTCTCCCTACATTGCTAAGTAGATTCAATTATTAACTTTATAAACATTTTTAATGTATTTTTTCTGTTCAGTGCTCAATTTTCTTACACACTTGAAAAAAATTTTTTAATTAAATCTTTAAAAACAATTTTTAACCCTTAAAATCTGTTTTTATTAAACAGTTGTATTTTAAGGTAAAAATTAAATAAAAATTTTAATCTATTTTGAGACTACAACACTTCAGGAGATTGGAAAAGAGAGTACAAAAGAAAACAATACTTTTTTCCAGTGTTGGTTAATGAGATCTAGGGAAAAAGATAAAAGAAAAGTGTTTCTCTTTGTGTTTGCACAGGATAAAGTGAGAAAAGGTAAAAATGATGTAATTAGGTAGTTTCTTTTCTTAGCTAAGATCTTGTTTTGTGGGTTAAGAAAATTGGGGCTTAAAAACTCATTTAATTTCATAGCAGATTATATTCTCAAATTGAATTGAGGGGAAAGGTCTTTTTTTTTTTTTTTTTTGAGACGGAGTCTCGCTGTGTCACCCAGGCTGGAGTGCAGTGGCGCGATCTCGGCTCACTGCAAGCTCCGCCTCCCGGGTTCACGCCATTCTCCTGCCTCAGCCTCCAAGTAGCTGGGACTACAGGCGCCCACCACCACGCCCGGCTAGTTTTTTGTATTTTTAGTAGAGACGGGGTTTCACCATGTTAGCCAGGATGGTCTCGATCTCCTGACCTCGTGATCCACCCGCCTCGGCCTCCCAAAGTGCTGGGATTACAGGCTTGAGCCACCGCGCCCGGCCAGGTCTTTTGAGGTTAGTAAGAAGCATCAATAAGGGAGCTGAGACAGCAGTTTTTACTTCAGACTATTTCAAAAATCAAGAGCAGAGCTAAGAATAGATGTTCATAATGGCCAATCCAGTTTTCAGACCACAGACACATGCTCCCTGGCCCCCATGCCTACTTAGAGCATCATCTTAGAAAATGCAATGTTTGGATATCTCTAAAGAGACTCTGAGTCACTTCCCTACTCAACCTCAATTTCTTTTATTCCCTTGGTTCATCATTAGACTGATAGCAAAGCTGAGACAAGAACCAAGGAAAGGCTTCTGATTCAAGAGAGTGCATTGAACACAAGCACATGCTGAATTATCTTCCATCTGCTTTAAATTCATGAAAAATACTGGGCACATACTTATAATAATTAACACACAATTATTGTTAAATTCTAGGAAAGAAAAATCTCTGGAGAATACAAGTGAAAATGCCAAAAAAAAAAAAAAAAAAAAAAGACAAGAATTCATGGGGAAAAGTAGGAACTGAAGATTAGAGACATAGGGTGATATTCCGAAGCTGAATTTCCCTACAGCACCACACAGCAAATGCTGAGGCCTCCATGAAACTACTGTGGATTTACACAGATGTCTTTACAAGCAAGAAACCCAGAGTAACTGAGAAGGCCAAAATAATGAAAAACATGTCATATGTTTAGCAAGTTTAGGAATCTACCTCCCCAAAATATGGATAATTAAATAATTAGAAACAATTTTACAATAAAAACTTTTAATAATTTTTAAAAGAAAGAATGGAATGAGAACACCCCCAAAACATGTACAGTTGATAACAAAATAAGAACAAGGGATAATGAAACAAGAAGCAGATATTTTGAAAATGACCATTACATTTCTTAGAATTTAGTAAAGTCATTATATCACATACATTGAATAGAAGATCAGAAACAGCTGAAGAAAGAATGACGAAATGAAAGAACACAAAGCAAAGATACAGAAATGGAAACTATGAAAAAGTTAAGAGACTTGGAAGATAGATTCAGAAAGTCCAGCATACATATGCTATGAATTCAGAAAGGAGAAAATACAGAGAATGGTATATAACAATATTTAATGAGATAATGGATGAGAATTCACCATGAAGAAGACATAAGTCTTCAGGTTAGAAACACCTCTGAGTACTGAGTAAGATAAACAATAACTGGGAAAAACAAAAAGCTTTTAAAAGTGAAGAAAACTTTATCATATTTTTTTTTCCAATGTTTTTAATTATATTTTAAGTTCTGGGATACATGTGCAGAATGTGCAGGTTTGTTACATAGGTATACACATGCCATGGTGGTTTGCCACACCCATCAACCCATCATCTACATTAAGTATTTCTCCTAATGCCCATATTAATTTTATCATATTATCTGATCTCTATTTTTAGCATATGCATTCTACCGTTCTCAGTGCACAAGGCAATAGTACATGTAAGTACATTTTTGTCTACCAATAGTGGTGCACAATCAAAAGAGTTTGGAACTCACTGATGTTTATTTCTTAGGAATATAATCTTTGAAACACTTAACTAAGTAGGTAATTGAGCTCAACCAAAACTGGGAGAACTCAATAAATGGCTCCTCATCTGTCCTGAGACTACAGATTACAGAGCTCTTCAGACTAAAGCAGACTAGTAAATGAACACAGTCAGGGCAGACTGAGGGATTCCATCACACTAAATGATGGAATAATGATAATTTTGTAATCAGTAGTGGGTATGAGGTTGGAGTGGTCTGTGAGTGGCAATTAGATACATTAGACAATACAATTATGGTAGCCAAGGTAGTCAGCAAAAACCTGACAGAAAGTGTCTAGTAATGCCTGTAGCATGCTTGTTAATATAATATTTACATTAAAAAATGTTGTTATGATTGTGTTGAGCTCCCAAGGATTTAGGAGACCAAATTCTCTTGGAGAGGATAAGTATTCAAAGAGGAAGGGTAGCCCTGAAAGTGATGCTATGATTGGCAGAAAAGAAGGAAACAAGGAAGACAAAGGCCATTCATAGTGAGTGCCAATGCACGACACAGAGATGCTTAAAGAAAATAGTGCAGCAGCAATATGAGGACATCTGCCACAGTGAGAACTCCTAGCCCTTATGTTATGGTAATTTAGTGCTGGGGAAAACATGGAGCCTCCGCCCCCATTCAGCAAGGTCTAGGAAGATCCCTCAGAAGTTGTAAACATGAATTAGTAATGGAAAGAAAATAATCAAAGACCAGAAATGTGAATCTCTTACAAAAGAAGCAAGTATATTCTCTTTAAAATGGTGATATGGATTGAACGTTTGTGCCCCCCCAAAATTTTTATGTTGAAATCCTAACACTCAATGTGATGGTAGTAAAAGATGAACCCTTTGTGAGGTAATTAGGTCCTGAGTGTGGGGCCCTCACAAATGGAATTAGTGTTCCTATAATAGGGACCCCAGAGAGCTCTCTTGCCCCCTTTCGGCCATGTAAGGATACAATGAGATGGTCATGTGTAACCCAGAAGACGGCTCTCAGCAGAACCCAGTCATGCTGGCGCCCTCAGACTTCCTGCCTTCAGAACTGTGAGAAATAAATTTTTGTTGTTTAGAAGGTACCAAGTCTGCGGTACTTTGTTATAGTAGCCAGAACTGATGAATACAGGTGGGATCGATGGTTAGGTGAGATCAGACTGTTGTATAAAATTGATTGTAAAAGATACAGTTACTTTACTCAAGAATAATTTGCTCAGAGGCCTACATGTGCTATTTCCAGTTTCTTACTTTTCATTCATTCTCCTACTCAAATCAGTCTAGCTGGTGCCCTCCCACTGTAAGAGTCCTGCTATGCTATTTCCATTTTCTTACTTTTCATTAATTCTTCTACTCAAATCAGTCTAGTTGGTACGCTCCCATTCTACTAAAAATGTTCTTTCTAAGTCACTGATAATTCTAGGTTGGCCAAGCCAAAGAAAATGGACAGTTTTAATTCTCATCTCAGCATCATTTCCCAAAGTTGGGCCCATTCTTTTTCTTTTCTTTCTCTTTTTTTTCTTTTACTTTTTGAGACAGAATTTCACTCTTTTGCCCAGGCTGGAGTGAATGGCATGATCTCAGCTCACTGCAACCTCCGCCCCCCGCAGGTTGAAGTGATTCTCCTGCCTCAGCCTTCTGAGTAGCTGGGATTATAGCCATTCTTTTTCTTTAAGACATGTTATTCTACAGGCTTCTGCTACATGGAACTCTCATGGATTTTCCTCCTAGCACTTGAACCACTCTTCTTCTATCAGATTTCAAAATACTAGAGTTAGCTTTATCCTGGGCCCTCTGCTCACTTTAGATGAGGTAATTATTCCTATAGTATTGAAAAACACTTATGTGCAAATAAGTCCCAAATGTATATTTCCAGCCAAGATTAACTATCTGAGTTCCAGGATTACCCAAATACCAACATACCATCTCCATTGGATTGTCTCACAGGTATTGCAAATATGTTTAAACTTCACTTCTGTTGGTACCCATTTCCCTTGCTGCAGCAGAATCTGACCTTTGATTAGCTCACTAGTTCTGTTCTCCTGGCAACCTAATAAGGGTAAAATGTAAGCTATGTTTTTAGGCTGAATTGTCTGTGATAAAATGACCCTGGATTTCTAAACTGAATCTGGACTAGGAGCAACTCTGTATGCAACCGTTATGATGTGGACCTCATAGTTTTAGGCTTTCCTGAATATGGCAACTCTTCTAACTGTGTATGTTTCCTACAGAGGTATGACAACTGCTGCCTAGATTAAACACCTTGCTAAAACCTAGCCTGAGTGCACATGTGAGCTTCCATCTCTTTCAGGCTACTGGGAGAGGTTTTCATACAGTTATTTCTTCAGGACTGTGGGTAGAACCAAGTTGTCAATTACAAGGCACATGCTTGTTGAGTCGATTTGATACCTAAATTAAAATTGAGTCTCTTAATGGAAGCGTAGGAATATAGGACTAAATTATCACAACTCAATTTCTAATGTGTTTTCCCTGGAATGGGAGTGAGGGGGCTGAGGTGTCGATGCGGAGTCTGATTGAGTTCTGACCGTGACACTGTTTTGGTCTGCTGCTATTATTTGGGAGGAGAATAAGCTGTTTCATTCGCTCATATTCAAGTAGCTGTGATGACTCCTTATATGGTGTTACCACCCCTTTCTCTCTCTCGATTTTCTTCTCACCTAGTTATTTGAAAGATGATCAGACACCTCTGAAACACTGTAAAAACAAGGCTAAATGTAGAAATATCAGAGCAGGTTAACAAGTGAGGCAGTGATGATAAATGCTTCCGCAACCCAGCATTTTAGAAAGCAGGAAACCACCATAGTTTTGTAGCACACTTTATGGAGGAGAAGAAAATAAAATTCCAAGTGTACATGAAACAGATCGCAGCAACTCAGTGGAGAATTACTGCTTCAAAAAAATCATATTACACTTTCTCCGCTTTTATTGTTTTTTAAGGTAGGAGGTAGGAGGGATAATTTTAAGGTAGGAGGGATAATTTTCTGATCTTTAGTAGGACACCAAAAAAGAAAGAAAGAAAGAAAAAATGTTTCAGTCATGTTTTACATTGTTCCTGTAGAATTTTTTTAAAACTTAGGATTCTCTTCCTTTTATTCTCAATGTGTATTACTCTAATGTACCCCTGTTGATTTTCTCTGCTGAGTCAGTTTATAGACGCATAGAAAAACCTGTTCCAATTCATAGAATTTTTTTAGTTTATTTACCAATAAACCAATATAATTCCAAAATGTATTATATGTTTTGATTATTTATTCCATTTTCCACATGTAGTCCAGATAACTTTTGGATCCTATCAGAAAACAATAAACCAATTGTTGCAAGACAAAGATTCAACACTACTGAGAATAACACTACTCTGAATGTATTGCTGATTGATAAAATATAAAAATGTAATCTTATACCAAATTTGTTATAATTTATAAGAAGTTCTAGCTCCAGAGACATGAAACACTTAGGCAACAACAATAATAAGAAAAAAAAAAACCTCACAATTCCCAAACAATGAAAGAATAGTTCCAATAATTTTGCACATTCATAAACAAGAATTTTAAAATACTTATTGAATGTAAACTATAAGCCACTTGGTGATAATACATGAAATCTAATTATCAAAGATTTCAAGTAAAATTGCATTTTATAAATTCATAATGACTGTTGTAAAAAGGGCAATGAATCTTGCAATTCTTGTAGCATAATGAGGGCTCACTAGATAAAGTTATTTGTGTGCAAACACACTTAATTTCCTGCTCACCAAGTGTACAATAGCACAAAAGTAGATGTCATACATAAGCTGCTTGGTTTCTTTCAATTTGCCAGGTACTCTGCTATAAATGTTGATGAGCTGTGATAAACCCTGGAATTTTCACGCTGGTATTTGATAGCTCTCACTGTAAAGTTTCTCTGACTTTCAAA